GAATGGGGTGGTGCAGCCAGAAAGGAAGATAGGCCCTCTAAGAGATACAGAAGTCAGTGCTGCCCCCTGCTGGCTGAATGGGGTGGTGCAGCCAGAAAGGAAGATAGGCCCTCTAAGAGATACAGAAGTCAGTGCTGCCCCCTGCTGGCTGAATGGGGTGATGCAGCCACAAGGGGAATTGGGGCCTATAGGTGATACAAGAAAGAGGAACAGCCGGAAACCCAGGATTGTCTTCTTGCTGTACGGCAGAACCTTGAAAGCCAGGCGCATTTTCTCTGCCCCATTTTCACAACGCACAATCCGGGCAGAAGGAGGCTGAGTTATTTCTGCTGCTTTCCGCTTTCCCTGGACCGTGTGGCTGCTCCATCGCCCCTCCTCGGGCCGGACCCATGTCCTTTCCCCTGACTGCAGCCGCCACGGGCAATGTGGCGACACCCGTGGCAAACGCAGGCAATGGCTCCCCTCCGTGAGCTGACCTGGGGCGTTTGCGTCCAGTAGCCCCACGGCTCTGTCTTCTCCCTGAGCTGCACTGCCCAAATCCAGCAGCAGAGGACCCAGGTTGCTGCCCTTTCCGCACCGCCACCTGCACGGCACGGACAGGAAAGCCTGCCCTCTGGTGGCTGATCTGGGGTACTGCTGCCGGCCCCAGCCCCGGCCCCTCACCTGGGAACGTTGGATAGCAAACCAAAATGTCGCTGTCCGTGGGCAAACTAGCAATGGCGTCCAGCTCGTCGCAGTCTCCTCCCGGCCCCCGGAAGGGAGTTGCGTCCGACTCGACGGCCTTTTGTTCCAGCTGGTCCTCCGGTGTGTCGGCATCCACTTGAAAGCCTTCGTCTCTTTCCTCTAGGAAGGCAAACAGGTTTGGTTTCCCAGCACCCCGGCTTGGGCCACGCGGCTCTTTAATCTGGAAACCGAAGGCCACCGAGTTTCGTCAGGGGCCTCTCCTCCAGGACACGCCGCCTCACCTCCTCCGCAGGCTTGAATGAAGAACAATTTTGGCTTCCCCCTAAGGCTGGGGCAGTGGAAGCCGTTGAAATAGCTGACCACCTTCTGCACCGCAATGCGCTGCCCGTCCGTTCCAAAGATCGCGCCAGGAAACTGGATGTGGTAGCTCTGGAAGAGGCCAAAAAGAAACTCAACAGGGACTCCCGGAAGGGGAGACGCCCCACAGGAGCACCGCAGCTCCCAGAGTGTTGTTCTCAGCAGGCACAGGCTTCGGCGGTTCACGTTTTGGTCTCAGCCCTTCGAGAAGGCGAGGGGGCCCTCCAGGAAAACGAGGCCCTTCGAGGAGTTCCATCTGGCAATGCTCTTATCAGAAGCTTTACAAGAAGCCCAAGTGATATTTTTTTGTCTCGTGATCCTCCTGATTTCTAGGCAGCAGCGCTTGAAGTTTATTTACTCTGGGAACAGCAGGGCGTAACTCTTCGGAAAGGAAGGAGCTGCGCTCTCAGTGGTCTCATCCGGCCCCCCCCCCCCGCCTGCCCCGGATTCACTGCTGACCCTGGATGGTACAGCGGAGGTGGGGTGACGTTACGGGGAAAGCCCCCACCCTCTGCCCAGAAGGCCGTGCACACAATCAGCGCTGGCCCCCGCCTACCTCACAGCCGTGGGAAAGGACCACCACCACGCAGCAATCCAGGGCTCCGTGGTCGCGTCTTGACAGTCCCTGCAGCTCCTGAGCGATTTCCTGTGGATGTTTCCAGGGAGGCCGGGTTAGACGAAATGCCAGCTTGGACAGCATCTGAGACAAGCTGCAGACTAGAGGGGCTGAGTTAATGTTTCTGGGAATGGCGGCCCTAACTCAAACTTTTTCCAGGCAATTTAGCTGTGGGGGGGGAGGCCGGCACTAAGGACTCTCCATCCAGCATTACCACTGCAAGGCCATTTTTGTTTCGGCTTCTTTCTAACAACAACGCGAGGCCTGGAAGGAAGGGGGGGAACCGGGATGGACTCTGCACGGGGAAGGGGCTCACGCAGGCCACCGCTGGCTCCTGAACAGAGCCAGATGCTCCTGAACAGCAACAGCGACGCGTCCTCATCACGATTCTAAAAATATACATTTTAATTGCAACTCTTTTATAGTTCATACTTTTAATTCATTTTTGCATTTTCTATACACAAAAATCAATAACGAATTAAAAGTCAGTTGACTCTGAATGCTACGACTGCTGGATGGGGTCAGTTTGAAGATGCTACAGCAGGTCCTGTCCAGAGCCAGGGGTGCAACTAGACGTTCCCAGACATTCTGTATCAGCGATTTTTGTTGTACGGGGCATGCCCCTCCAAGCCCCCGGCTGGGATGCTCACCTGAGCCGTAAGGTCTTCCTTTGTCAAGACCTCAAAATGCAATGCCCGGAACCGCTTTTCCAGCCTCTGGCAGTCGATGTTAGAGCCCACACGACACTTCAGTTCTGTGTCTGGGTTGAAGTTGACGTTGTTGATAATGAGACAGTAGCCACAGGGATCTGAGTTCAGGAGGTAAACCTATCATGACATATCAGAGAATTGTACCAGCATGTCGCCACTCCAGAGTGATCTCGAACCGTCCTTCTCCCACGGTTGTGGCTTAAAATAAACCCACGCAGGCGGGTTGGATGAGATCTGGAGACTGGTTAACCGGGATGGGGACCCTCAACTGGAGGTGTCAATGTTCTGTGCTGCCGAAAACAACTCTGCGTGTCAGGCATGCCCATAGAGAGAACCGTGGGGGAACCAACACACGCTGTGCAGAAAAATCACCCTGCGCTGCTCTTCTTCAGTTTGATAAAAGAGAATTGGCTTTGGATGTTTCTCAGGGAGCAAAAGAGCGTCCTTGGAATTCTTACGCTGATTTAGCAATGACCTGGCCCAGGGGGCATGGGCAGATAGCCGGTCTTTCTGTGCCCAATCTTCTCTTCCCCCCACCCCCTTTTCACCTTCTCTCAAGAGGAGATGAGGAATTCCTTGGGAGGGGGGCAGCTTTTCATAAGGAGCAGTGTGGGCAGCCAGGGAGGTGGAACAAAGTTCTCCCCCAATTTCAACGATCAAGAAAAGTTAAAAGAAAAAAAAAACCCAGCAATTTGAAAGAGAGTCCCAGTACCATGAGACTGATGGCAGCAAACCCAATGTCTCCTTTATAGGGGAAGAAATGGCACAATGCTGGTTTTAACAGAAAAGAAGGCAGGGAGTTGCAGGCTTTGCTCCTATCTGCTAATGCTAATAAGGCAGCCCCCATTTCTGGGGGATTCTGGGGGATGTGGGCACTGGGGAACCTGAGGTTAAACTCAGCACCTGTGCCCTGCATAGAAAAGAAGCAAACTAACCATTTCAGAATCTCCTTTGGGGTTCTCTTCTACAGAACCTAGACAATGAAAGAAAGGAAAATAATAAATTCAGCTTGAAGCATAGCAAGCTGGTCGAGTCACAGAAGCCACACCTTAGGCAAACCCAAGGAGGACTCTGACCCCTCTGCCTAGCACAGAGCAGGAGGAAACTTTGCAGATGGACCCCTTCCCTTCCCTTCCCTAAAAAGGACTCTTTAAGTTCTACAACCTGTTGCCAGCCTGGAAACGCTGAAGGAACCGGGGCGGGGGGGAGAGGCGATGGAAGGATCTGAATAAGCCGCTGCCGGCGAACAGGCGTCCCCACCCTCGAGGGGCCAGAATGCGACTTCCTGCTGCTTCTTATCCACCTCTTGATCTGAACAAAGGCAACATTCAGAAACACCGTCACCTTCGTACGCTTCTCCCTCCGCTCTCCCTTCCGGTCCCACAAATGTTTTCTTAAAACAAAAAAAATGGAGCGCCCCAGTCCCCGAAGCCAAAGCTGGTGTTGTTAACGTGACACGAAGCGTGCGCCTCGGTTAAACTAACACAGCTACCAGGTTTGAGCTGTTTTCTTCCTCCTCCGTCCGCGTTCTCCTTCCTCTGAGCTTCCCGCTGTAAAGCCGGGGTCGAGAACAGCCCCGCTGCCCTCCTGCAGGCAAACGACCGCCGTTTCCCCCCGGCCCCCCTCCCCTCGAGGGTGGGTCCCTCCGAAAGGGTCCCGGCTGACGCGCCGGTCCTCG